TCTGAGCTAAAGAAATGTGAGAGAATAAATTTGTAGAAATTTGTTGTGGCAGGCTTAGGAAACTAATGTATCCTCTTTGATATTTTTAAAATAAATTTTATTTTTTAACTGATATATAAAAGGAAATGATCTATTTCTCATTCCTTCATTGTAAAAAAAATTGTCATAATTTCTTCTGGCTTTTTGAAGTGTACAAAATAGTATTAGTTTATTTAGTCACTTTATTGTAGATATATTGCTCCAGCATCAGAACCCATTGATTTAATTTTCTGTAACTTCTGCCCCAGTCTCTGGTAATGAGCATTGTATTCTCAGTTTCTATGAGACCAATATTTATCAGATTTATCAGGTCGCACATATGAGTGAACATATGTACTAGTTGTCTTTCTGTGCCTGACCTGAATTATTTTAATGAGCTCTACCTCCATCTACATTGTTGTAAATGGAGGCATTCTTTTGTTTTAGTCAAATATTTTAAAAAAATATATTTATTTATTTATTTATTTGTGTATGTGTGTGAATGTGTGTGTGTGTGTTATGTGTGATACTGTATTTTACCTTTTCTAATAGCATCTTTTACCTCTAACTTAGATAGGGTTTCTCTTGCTGTAACCAAACACAATGATCAAAAGATAGTTAGGGAAGAAGGAGTTTATTTGGCTTATACTTCCACATAGTAGCATAGTCCATCATTGAAAGAGGTCATGAACTCAAATAGGACAGGAACCTGAAGGGCAGGAGCAGAGGCCATAGAGGAGTGCTGCTTAATAGCTTGCTCATCATGGCTTGCTCAGCAAACCTTCTTATAGAACCCCTGACAACCAGCCCAGGGATAGCACTATCCACAATGGGCTGGACCCTCCCTTATCAATCACTAATTAAGAAAAGGCCCTACAACTGGATTTTACAGAGCATTTTCTCTCAGTTGAGTTTCTCTCCTTTCAGATGACTCTAGGTTGTGTTGACATAAAACTAGCAAGAAAAACCTTTCTTAAATTCTCTCATTGTTCAAATTCTAGAAAAGCCAATCCTATCCCACACTGCTACTTTCTATTCTGATTGTTTAGAGCACAAGTTTGACATTTAACCAAGTCTTGTTTCGATAACATTTGTTTTTCCTTTTCCATTTGTGTGAATCTCCTTGAGGGCAGTGTGTTTTTTACAACTTCTAAAATGTAGATGACATGGATGAAGTCAGCTAGCCCTGACATAGCACACAGGTGTTATGTCTAAATTGTACTGTGCACCTTACCATTCATATGTTAAAACTGAACCCATAGCACTTTGGAATGACTCTATTCTGGTAGGGGATCTTGAAAATGATAATGAATTTAAAGGGAGGTCATGGGGAGTCCCTAAATCAATCTGATTAGCATCCTTATAAAAGAGCCTTGAACCACAAAGAAGCAGCAAGAGGGTAGCCATATGCAAATCTAGGGAACCATTGGGCTTCTAGAGAAAACTTTGACCTTGGATTTCCAATCTCTAGAACTGTGTGAAGACTATGCTTTTTAAAGCTATCTCAGTAGTTTGTTATAAATGTTCTAGTAAGCTAATACAGAAAGTAAAAGGCTATAAGACTAACAGTTTAGAAACAATGGAGGAACAAGACCCATGTGTTTTCCATGACTACCCTCTCTTCTCTTAAATACAAGCCTATTTCTAAATTATTTGGCAGGATCCTTTTCTTACCCTCCCTTTCCCAGGCTTCCAGTACCAGCATTGTATTCTCAGTTTCTCTGAGGCCAGTATTTATCAGGTCCCCCATACAAGTGAGCATATGTATTATTTGTCTTTCTGGGCCTGATTTATTTTAATATTTCTAGTTTCATCCACAGTGTTGCAAATGACAGCATTTCATTCTTTTGGTTTAGTCAAATCTTAAAAAAAAAAAAAAAACAAACAATTTAATAATTGTGTGTGTGTGTGTGTGTGTGTGCCAAGGAACTACATGGTTTATTATAAAAACAGAATAATTTTAATCCAAAGATCAAAGAAATCTGAGAGTGGAGCTGGAATCCCCCTCTTCTTCCAGAGCCCAGGAAGTGACTGGCCATTGTGTGAATTAATTTGCTAGCTTAAAACTTATAATTATCAGCCATGAGGTTTGAAGCTATACATAGGCTGAAGTTGGTGATAAGGGAATAAAAACCAGGGTAAGTCACCTAGAAACGGGTGAGAATAACCACCCTGGCTGTTTTGTTTTGTTTTGTTTTTCTTGTTATGTGTGCTCACAGATGTTTTTTAGTTGTTGTTGTTTGTTTTGGTTACTATTTTGGTTTTGGTTTAAAGTCAGACCAAGGTGTGTGGGTTTTTGTGTTTTGCTGTGTTTCTTTTCTTCCCCATTCTCTTGTCAGCCCACAAACTTGCATGGCTTTAGATGGGAGTTGGAAGGGTGGGATGTCTTGGAACTGGTACCATAATTTTCAAACTCAGCTTCTAATCCTGAAATAACTTTTAGGGGCTTCTTGGCCATGTGTAATATTCCTATCCAGTGAAAAGCATTAAAAATAATGGGGGTTCTCCACACTGAAGCAAAAGAGTGATTAAAGAGCTGTCACTTGGCTAGAAATGTACCAAGGACTATCTGAGTGAACATAACATGACTTTAGATGTAACAGTTGGACCTAATAGGTGGACCTTGACTAATGCTCATTTCAACACAGTCTCTACTATGAACCAGAAACAATGATGCACCCCCAACCCCCATTGCATGGTGATGGAGTCTTAGGTTTATCTCTTATTAGCTGGATGAGCTAGTCAAAGACCTTAATTTCTCTCAGTCTTTGAATCTCAATCAACTAAGATCCAGGCTGACTCCACACCACTGGAATCAGACAAACTAAGTCACAGAAGCTGATAAGGAAGCCAATGATACAATTTTGGTGTGACATACTGAGTAACAGAGTTCATCCATACCCATGTCTGATTTTGATTCTTCCTTTTAATAACTACATTATGCTACATTATTGCTCCAGTTCCTTCCCATAAATAAAGCAGGAAAGAAAACACAAAGGGCTGAAGTGGTGGAGTACATGCAAAGGGAAAGAAATGGTCATTTTGCTTGATAAGGTGGTAGCACACTTACCACCTGTGTTAAGTGGTTAAAAAGAAGGGGCTGCTTCTCCTGTACTCCAAGTCCTGCTGGTGCTGCTTCCTCCCTTAGGTCCTTTCCCCACTAAAAGGGTAATCCACAACTTTAATGCCTACACCGAAAGTCATTTCTCATTCATTCGCTGACATCCATGAAAGCTGGTTTCAAAGACTCAGCTCTGATAAGGATTATCGAAAAGTCAAAAGAATATTAAACCTGTAATGTGTCTTTTGTTAAGATGAAAATCACAAAATATGAAAACAGAGAAACAAACTGGGGGGTTAAAAAAAAAAAAAAAAAGCCTAAGTGGCTTGGATTTAAAGCAGGTCATTCTCAGAAAGAACCTCTAGGGGTAATTTCTAACTTTAGGTGCTGGTATCCTGGTATCCTCATCACCTCTGGTCATCTTTCTGAGATGGTCCATTTTAAGAGGTATGTCCTTTGGTACACTAAATATGTATGGGGCTCAGCAGTCCTGAAATATACATGACAATAATAAGCTGTCTGTTAAACAAGTTTGTGTCTAGAAGGGATGAGGGACAATATGAGCTATTTAATTAGAGGTACTTGTCATCACTAATGAACAACAAGGAATAATTTGGGAGGTTCTTTGACATACATCTCTTAGACATATCATCAACTAAACTAATATGCCCTGAAAGTGGCTCTGGTGTGCCTTGCGCATGTTACATTTCATTCTATAACATGTTGGCAAGACTACCATTAGTATTCCCATTTTACAGATGGAAAGGGCTCTCCAGTCCATACAACACTAAATATCTAAAATGTGTATGCTGTAAACTTACAAGTCACATATTTCCCCCTAAATTAGGGAAGGCACCAGAACAAACTGATGTAGACTCCAGGGTGTTCTTCTTCCCTCAAGACAGAGATTTCTTGTATTCATTGTGCTCAAATTATAAAACATCACTGTCAATGTTATGCAGACCTGTCATTCATGTATACTCAGCTTTTTTGGTTAAATTAGAAATTGTCAAACAAGCTTGTGTGCATAAGCAAAAAAAAAAAAAAATCTCACTATGTGGTTTTAGATATAGATGCTAATTCCTAGACAATAGTTATTTCCACATTCAAATGCTTAGAGTGCTTAAGTGCTATATGTGTGAGTGTGTTCAGATTGTGTATTGAAGCATAGATGACGTATGCTTGTGCATATCTAAGCTTATTATGTGTATGCATTTAGGTTACATAAATAAAAACAGCATTTTTGAGGAAATTGAACCTCCACGATTACCAACTGCACATAAAATCTAAATGGCAGCTATAACTTACATATTTCTAGCTCCTCCTTGCATGTTTGTTCCTGTGGTACTGGGAAAGACTTAGGAAAGAGGCACCCGCATTCCTCAGGCCCCACTTCCCTAAAACATGTTCCATCCAGTCTCTCCAACTGTCTGGACTATCCTCTGCCCCCACCCCATAGCCTTCCCAAGGCAATGCTCCCAAGGCTGTGCGAAAGTCGGTGGGTAATTGGGTCCAGATTGGAGGTGTTTAAATATTCATGAGGCTGGCAGGGGACTGGGAGGGGGCGACTGTCTAGAATGGGGGTAGGGGCTCCGGGAAGTGATTAGTCACTGAAAGCTAGTGAACATTTCTGAGAAAGGGACCCAGAGAGAAGGAAGGAAAAGATAGATTGGGTGGGGAGTGGAGGAAAGAGAAGAGAGAAAAAAGGAGAGAGGAGGAAGGGAGGGAGGGAAGTAGGGAGGGAGGGAAGGAGAGAGAGAGAGAGAGAGAGAGAGAGAGAGAGAGAGAGAGAGAGAGAGAGAGAGAGAGAGAGAGAGAGAGAGAGAGTAGAGCATGTGCGGTGAGCAATAGCTGTGGACTTACAGCTAACTGCCCTGGTGTGTGTGAGGGAGAGAGAGGGAGAGAGAGTGAGAGGGAGGGAGGGAGGGAGGAAGGGAGGGAGAGCGCGCTAGCGCGAGAGAGCGAGTGAGCAAGCGAGCAGAAAAGAGGTGGAGAGGGGGGGAATAAGGAAGAGAGGAGGAGAGGAGAGAAGGCAGGAAGAAAGCAGGGAAGACACCACCATGCTGTGCTGTATGAGAAGAACCAAACAGGTAGAGCTAAAGATTTTTTACTTCTTTCTGTTGTGAAATTACCAGAGTACAGTATTTCCTTGTAAAAGGCAGAATTTTTTTTTTTTTTTAATTGCTTCTGCCCTGGCATGGTGCTCTGGTTTCCTTAGCATATGGTAGCTGATGGTTGCATCCCAGCTTTATTCTTTTCTGTCTTTCATGCTCTGGTTTCGGAATGCTGATACTAATTAGGGTGAGGGTAGAGAAAAATGCCGGCTTGGCTAGAAATACGATTCCCTATTAGTAAACGCACAGGGGCTAGGTCTCTGGTTTTGAGGGTGTGGATGTAGAAAGGGGTGTGGGGACAATGTGGGCTCTATGTTCGATATAAGAAAGCTATCCTTTATATTATGTGTGAGAAGCGTGGTTTGAGGGGATTATAATCACAGTTGAGCACTGCCTGTTCTGTGATTCAATTTTTCCCACATGTGCTTGCGGAAGATACCTGATTTTGAGCTCGCAGGAGCTTTAAGGGGGAACAGGTATATGTGGGAAAACATGTGAAGGTTTTATTTCTTTATTTGATGAATGAATTAAACTAATTTGGGAGATTTTTATTTTAAAGAAAGCCTTAAGGGGTTGAGGGGTGGGGAGGGGGACTGGCTGTGTCGAGGGGAAAGCCCCCTACCTAAGATCAGAGGCGGATTGTGCGCCAGCTGGTCTGGGAAGAGGGTGGACCACGCCCCTAGGAGCTTTGAGCTTAGATGGGATGGGAAAGGCAAGCCGGTATTACCTGTTGGAAACCGGGGCTTTTCTCTTTCCCCCTTCCCGCGAGTCTTCCCTTACAATCACAGTGACCAGAGGTGTGTTAATATCCCGGAGGATAAGCATGGTGACTCACGTTTATCAGAATGAAGGACGAGTCTAAGACCAGCTAGAATCCCAATCTCCCCTCCCCTCCCCCACTGCCGAGATATTTTTCAAACCCCCCCTTTCATTTCAAATTGCTCACTTATTTCTTGAAAGACGTTTTAGAAACTTAATTGGGGTGAGGATGAAGAGAAGTGAGAAGATTGGTATTCCGCAGTAACCCACAGCGCAGCCACAGTCTCCAAACGCAGCCTTCAGACATCCCTAAGGGCACGTTTGAGTGATTTTTGGAGAAGGTTAAGAAGAAAAATGGGTGTGGGGTCTGAGTTCCAGCGTGTGCTTGTGTGTTTGTGTGCCCATGGTGGGGTGGGGTGGCATGGCAGTCGTGGTTGAAGCCCCTCTGCAAAATGATTGCCTTAGGGTCGGGGTGCAAGAGAGGAGGATTTGGTATTATTCTTGTGCAGGTATTGGAAACCGGGCAATTTGTGAAGCACTTTCTGAATCCAAAGGGGGTGGAGGAGAGTGCAGAGGAACCAGCCATTCAGCCTGGCCACATGTAGCCAGCGCCCTGGAAGGAGGGGTGGGGAGTGGTGATGAAAAAGGTAGAGGAAAAGAGGTATAAGCAGAATGTCCAAATAGTTAGAGGAAAAGCAAGCCACAAACAAACAAACAAACGTACAAACAGATAAACAAATAAATGTAGATACTTGGTTGTGAAGGGATGCATGGAGAAAAGTCCATCAAGGCTCAAGGCGGGGCAGGGGTCCTGCTGGCTGTATTCCTCTAACTGCTCTTGGTTCCAGAAACTGACACTTCCATCGGAACATTTGTAAAACATGTATTCCCATGTTTCCCTTCATTTTACTATATAAATGTAACAGATACAGGTGTGAGGGTTAAACACACTCTCAAAAGGCTGGGGGTGGGGGTTGGGAGGATGGTGTCTAAGATGACTGCACTGGCCAGCTGGTGAAATAAAATTTAGGAAGGAAGAGCCTTAGGGAGACCAAGTCTATTCATCTTAAAGGCTTAAATTTGGGGGGGGGGGGAAGTGTGCTGGCTGGCAGCTTGTTCCCACCCTATTTTTAGGCATGGGAATATGGGAGTGTCCACACATCTCCTTCAGTAAAGGGACCTAGCGTGGTTTTTAGACAGGGAATTGGGGCTAAAGGAATTCCCTCCCCAAATGAGAACAGCTGCTTTCTCTGGCTCCATCTCACTGACAGCCTGGAGCACTCACTCTGATGTGCAGAATGATGAAGATGAAATTGTGTGTTTAGGGACTTGTAGGAATTTGCATGTAAATATGTATAGTACGTGCATACTTCCCATGCAACGATCACACATGTGCTCTGTATGGATTCCACATGCCTGCCTGTGTTTTAGTATCACTGATGCAAAGGAGGAAACGGTCCTTTTTGCCCACACATTTTATATATAGGTTCTAGGGTATGAAATGGTTATTTGCCCCATGTAATAACGTTATGTGTCATTTGCATATGCCAGTATTTAAGATATTAAACCAGACACAAGGCAATGGTATCTTTAGGGCGTGGGCTCATACTACATGACTGACATATAGTATGAATACTTAAGTGTCATGTAGGTTCTCCTCTTGTGGGTGAAGTGATCCTCTCTCATTCCAGGAAGAATCTAAGGTTTTTATTTCTTCTTCTGGAGGGTGTTTATCATTGTAGTTCTTAGCAGGGACTAAAACCTGGATACAAACCTGCAAAGGTCTAACTCTGCCACACCCATGAAATCTAGCAGCAATGTGGGAGGGGGACTGGAGGGCTTGCACTTCCTTCCTCTTCCACTTGAGCAGCACGAGAGCAAGAGAAGCAGCCTTAGATATTTCTAAGTTGTAATACATTGTCAGTGGGTGAGAAGAACACATAAACGGTCTCTATTAGCCATTACTTACCACAGTAGATTTAAAAGAGAACGAGAGACAGAGAGAGAGAGAGAGAAAGAGAGAAAGAGAGAGCGAGATGACTACAAGGGAATAGGCAAAGGAGGATTAAAATAAAAGAATCCTGGAGATTTTATTGGCTCATGATTTTTAAACATCTTGGGGCTTACTTTAAATAGCTCAATTACCATGCATATTGCTACGATTAAAAACTTGCAAGGTGTGATACTCTACAGAGCAAGAAAACTATGAAATGTTTCCTTTGTTTAAAAATAATGACTTTATTTTGTAGCTGAAGTGTAACAATTACCCTGCAAGCAAGCAGATGAGGGTCTCCGACCTTACCCTGCTAGCATCTGCCTCCCCCCCCCCATATGAGGGCAAATAAGTCTTATCTTTGGAATACTGATGCATGCTTTAGAATTTCAGCCTTGCTGTTTCCTCCCTCTTAGAGCATTAGGAGGTGTGGAAGGGTATAGTTCTGCTGCTGGGTGGGGGAGCATTCTTTCTAGTAAGACATTGGATTCCTGTTCAGTCTCTCTGAGCCACACCCAGTGTCATCCAGGGACTTAGTCAATTGGTTCAATTGAGGCCTTCTACTTAATATAATTGAAGCTGTTCAATTTTTTAAAAATCATGGCATTTTCCACCTATTTCCAAAATTAAATAGAGGAAATTATTTAGAAGGCTTTAGTTTTTGTTTTTTCCTTCCAACTCATGTGGACTTGCAGAGAACCTTCCACAGTTTGTAGTGAATTTAGAAATGTTCATTTCCGATTATTAAAGTTATATTAAGGTACACGCACAATGACTCCCGATCCTTCATGCTAAGAGAGTCCTCTGAATGTCACCCCAGTCCAGCCCACTCTACTCCTGTGAGCTCTGCTGAGGCAATTGGAATAAGAAAACACAGGGTTAATTCTCCTTCTTGCTGAGCTGGTAAAACTGCAGAAACCTCCTTTGATGTGGCAATGTAAAGGGCAAAGCTCCTGCTCACCAAAAGGAAGGGTGGCCCAGGGTCTTCTGCTTCTGTCATAGTGAAATTGCTAGTGACAGGCCTGGGGCAGAATTAATCCACAGACTTCAGAGTTTTACTTGGTCCCATAGGGAAGGGGTGGAGGGCTATCAGGCAATAATGGAGTTCTGTGTTAACTCATTATATTCTCACTCCACCCCATCCCTCCCCACACTGGTCATACTGGCTTTGAGACACATCTAAAATCTTCCTCTATAAATAGCTTAAGAAATAAATGCATTTTAAGAGGAGCCTCTCAAAGTTTCATCAAGGGAAGGTACAGCATTTAACCCTTTCATGTCTCTGATGATTCAAAAAAAAAAAAAAAAAAGTGGGTGATTACACCAGAGTCTCTCACCTCTTGAAGTTTGAAGTGTAAACAGGTTGACTTTGTGCCACTAACTTGAAATCTTCATAGAAGCCTCTGGAGAGTACTGTGCTGGAAGTCCCTAGCTTCTGCCACTTATAGACTCAATCACCTAGGCTTTTAGTTTCTTCCTGTCATGGGGATGGAAGAACAAGCTGTCCAACTAAAGAACTCAACAAACAGCCCCACCCCATTTAGCTCTGGACAGGGCAGCCACGCCACCACCGCCACCACCACCACACACAATTGTCGGGATATTGCTTTGTTTTTTTTTTTTTTTTTTTGTTTGTTTGTTTTGTTTTCATTAGAGATGTTACTTTTGGACACACTGAGTGCTCTCCCTGGATTCTTGATCTCTCTTCTGTGTTTTCCCAGATCCGTTCTCTTGAGATTTCCTCAGATTTTGTTGCTTCGGCTGGCTTTCCAGTGGTCTGTGGCTGTGCCTTGTCTCCTGTTTGCAGTCTCCTGACTTTGCATCTCTACAGTGCTCTATCGCACTCTTCTTTTAGAATAACGTTTCTGAGAGTATTCCATACCCATGCCCTTCTCTGCCACTCCTCATTCTCTAGTCTCCTGCTTTAAAGAGGCCTCTGTTCCCATGATTCCAGCTGACACGAGGTACTACTGTCTCAGGTGAGCCAGCAGTCCACATCTTACATGTTTTCCATTGTGCTGCCTTCTCACGGTCTTTCCTTGATAATCCTCCCAATCCTCCTTCTCAAGCAGGACCTTTAAACTCTTGATGGCTGTTTTTACTCACCTAGTCCCCCAAGGCCAATAACTTCCCATCTGTAATCTTGGTTCTTTTCTCCTGTCATCCCCTTCATTAATTCCAGATAAACACACCCACATTCAGAACTTCAGTCCCATCATGCAAT